AGACAGGAGCAGAGGGAGTCAGACCTGCATGGACTTCAGGTCACGGCTAATCGACAGCCACACGGAAGACACAGGAAAGAGCAGGTCACCCCTCCAGGTTACCTGGAGGTTGCTTTTTCCCTGAAGAAGGGCACAAGCATTCAGGAGGGAGACGGCAGAGGGACTGGCTGGTGAGTTGGCATACTGCTGCCATCCCTTGTAAATCTGGCCTTTTTCTTGTTGTGTTTTCAGAATAGCAACAGGCTTGAGTGAACGTGTTGCTTGAATTAATAGGGAAAATGGGACCCTGGCCTTAGAAGGTCTCCACGAGCTTCCTCGGATTAGGATCAGATTTCATGTACTGTCTTGATTTCCTAATTGGAATAGCTGAAAATTTTATTCATTCAGAGCAAAACTGAGCAGTCAATGGACTATCGGACCCACCGTCTTTATTTAATTCAATTTTATTTAAAATGCATTTATTAAGCTGGGCATGGGACTAAAATGATAAAATAGAATCATAGTTCTGATGGAGGATAATCTTTTTATGAGCAATTCAGGCTAATATGAGCCCCCTCAAAATAGCTGTGAAATAAACACATAAGGAGGTGAGACATTTAAAAGATGTGAGATGGACATTTGGAAATACGTTTGCGTTTACTATAATTGGAGGGCTGTATGTAAGACATTAAGGAAAGCGGCCATTTGTTGAACAGCTACCAAGCACCTGGCATAGTGCCAGGGCTGGGGACGGGAGGACGGGGGCAGCAGGGAGGTGACCTGCCCCTTCCTCCATGAGCTCTCGGTCCTGTTGGGCAGACAGGCAGGTCCACAGCAACCTGTATCTAATATAAAGAAATGTAATTGGGCCCTTCACCCTCCCCCAAAGTTTCCTTCTTCCCAATTCCCACTTCTTCCCACTCCTGTTCCTGCCCCAAGCCCCGGTCGGGGCTTTTCAACCCAGTTCATGATTCTTAGCCAGGAGCTGGGGTCGTTTCAGATGATTTACCTGTGTCCCCGAGGTGTGTTGGTGACCCGCTCTCTAGGGGAACAAGGTAGGATTCATACAACTGATCTCCCTTTTAAGAATCTTTGCTTCAATCAGGCCTGGTAATTCGTTATTTCGGTGTTTGGTGCTTGTCCTTTTGGAGACCACAAGGCCGTGGGGGCGACTGCCCACCACTTCAGTCCCACAGGGTCCCCCCACAGGCACTGAGATGCGTTTCAAAGCAGGTGAAGGAGGCTTCTGGGATGTGGCAGGGGGCAGAAGAAAGAAAAGCGGCAATGCTAAACCAAACAGGTGAAAGAGGAACTGGAAAGGGCAACGAGGTCAGTGGGGAGACACAGAGTGACACCTGCTGGTGAGCGGACACAGTGCAGCCGCCTCGGATCCCAGCCCTCCAGCGGTGGAGGCGTTGTCCTGCAGGGCCTTGGAGGCCGGAAGGAAGGGCTGAGCACGCGGTGAGGACTTCTGACTAGAGGGAGGGGAAGGGGGAAGGGAGCCGAGGGAGATTTGAATACCAAAACACAGCATCAAGAGGGAGTCCCCACGGAGGCAGGCCAGGAGACAGCCAAAGACCAGAAGCTCCGTCTGAATGTGGTATGGTGGGGAGGACATCGCACAGTGGGAGAAAGCACCAGGGAGACGGGCCTTGGGGAGACTCCGGGGCTCTGCAGTACCCTCCCCGTGCACATGCATCTGGGCCCCGCCTCCGCAGCATGGAGAGTGGGCCTGAATGTGCGGTGCTCCCCAGACGTACCTCCAGCAGAGCCCTGAGTGGCTCAGTGCCGGGAAAGGGCAATGGACTGGGGACGAGAGGACTCGGGCTTGGGAGAGACCAGCTGTGAGAACTGAGGGGGCCCCTAACCCTGAACTTCTCCCGCAGCAGCATGGGGTTGGTGACGCTGTTCTGTCTCCCTTGGGGCTTGGGAGGAAGGGAGCTCTAACTGAATAACACATACAAAAGTGCTTTGTAAATGGTACAATGATGAACATATATAAGGGGCTCTGACTGTTTTTCTCCTCTTCCTCGATAGACAAAGTGGTTGTAGTAATGGCAGCGGATGGGTTGTCCTTCTGTGATGATTCCCAGGCATTAAAAGGACCAGGGTAGTCATGCTATTTTAAGTTGCTACAGGAATTCCATTCCTCGCTCCACCTTGTGTAGCATAAATCCACAGAAATGGCTTCTCTAGCATAAACACTCTCTCATTTCCTTCAAGGAAAAGCACGGGGGGCAATTAAGGTTCTGTGGGCACAATCTGAGACTCAGCCTCCGCCAAGCACGGAGGTAGAGAGCAGTTGCTGGGGGCAGACTGCCTGGCTCTGAATCCTGACTCCACTATGTCGTAGCTGTGTGATCTTGGGTGTGTTATTTAACCTCTCTGAGCCTCGGTTCTCCATCTGCAAAATGAGGCTAGCAAAAGCATTGGCTTTATAGAACTGCTATAAGGATTAAATGCATTTGTGCATATAAGCTCATCCATAACTTAGTGTCTGGCTTATCGTAAGAGTTCAATGAATGTGACCTTCGATTACAATGTGATGATGAAGATATGTGGTGGTGATGAGAAGGAGGAGGAGAATGAAAAAAACAGTGTTTGTGGTGGTGGTGGTGATGATAGTGACGGTGGTAATGATAGGCTGTTTGGTTTCTAGAGAAGCTCTTCACACTTCCCCAAGCATAATGGGCCCCTCCACCCAGCATTTCTTCCCAGGAACTCCAACCACTTCACACACGCGCACGTACACAAACAATGTCTCACGAAAGCTAATGTTATAATTACAAATGACAGGGCATGGGATGTGAACTTGAGAAATACGGGTCAATCATCCTGGGGCCCCACTGACTCATTCCATGTCACCAGAAGAATCCCTCAGTCTCTGAATGACTCACTTCTCACTCTCCTGAACAAACACAATGCTTGCCTACTCTGTCATGTTCAACAACAACTGGGTTTATTTTGCTAGACAGCTTTGAACTTGTTGGATGAAAGGAGCTATTTAAGTACAAAGGAGAAGGTGAAGGTGTTTGGGCCAGGGGGCTAAATTAAGACTCATCAAAATGGCTCTTTCTTGTGGGGACCCACTCTTAGGTAAGCGCCTCAGAGGTGTGTCACCTGTGCCCAAACACCTCCACCGCTTGGGAAACAAGGCAGAGGCGCAGTGGAGGGGAGAGGAGGGCTTAACAGCCTTTGACCCTTCTTCCAAAGCTTCCTCCGGAGCCCTGACGCCTCCCAAGCAACAGTCCTACCTGCACAGACAGTAGCCACCAGGTAAGAATCTAGCCTTGAGGGCACTTGGAGGCAGAGCAGCCAGTCCCCGGCTTAGCTTTCTCCACCCCTGGGGCTTGGGACAGTGCTCACTCCTGCACCAGGGTAGGCTGGATTCAACAACCATCAGCCAGACTTTGTAAATGTCTCAGCAAGCGACTTCGATTCAGAAGTGGTTTCACCAATGAATAAGACCTAGAAAGCTGGAATCATAGAATCTGGGGACTAGAAGACCCTCTACAATCATCTCATCCAGCCTCATCAGACACCTGAGTCCCCACCTCAACATCCCCACCAGGTGGCTGCAAAGACCCTGCTTGAATGTCTCCAGAGATGGGAAACCCACAGCCCCTCCTCTTTGGCCAGTTGCAATGCTGCTTTCCAGAGACATGCTGTTCTCAGCCACTGCTGCCTAAATATGGACCCTGAGGTCCATGTGTCTATTACCTGCAAGTTTCAAGCCCAGCAGCTACCAGGAGGACTTGCCAGTGGGACCCGTGGAGGAGCTTGGGTGGCTCAGTTTGACTGACCCTTTCTAGACTGAAAGTCTGACAGACTCAGCAATCACCACCATTTAACGTATCCAGAGTTTCATAACATGCAGTGGAAATTAATTATGTCAGTGATCTGAGGCATTCCTCGCCCATGGGACTTACTGGGGAGCAAGGCCACACACACCTTCTGCAGAGCGTGTGGCCAGGCAGGAGCTCATTCTCCAAATAAGCCCCCTAACCCAGAGGTTCTCGAATGCGAGAGCACATAGAATCATCTGGATCTCTTGGGAACCAGACTACTGATTCAGAAAGGCTGGGACAGGGCTCAAGAATTTGAATCTTCAACACATGTCCAGGTAGTGCTGCTGCTGCTGCTAGTTGGAGGACCACACTTCAACAGCCACCACCGTACACCTTCTACTGTTTACGTTTTTTTCCCTTCAAAGCTTCCAGAGCACGGGCTTTGGACTTAGTTCAAAGAGACTGAGGTTCAAATCTGGACTCAGCAGCTAGAAATAATAACAGCTGCTCCCTGTTTATAGAGTTTCTGTGGGACCCTTGGTGGCCATGTCTGTAAAGCCCAGCACAGTGTCCTGCTTAGATCGAGCATGAGATCACAAAAGCTGACTTTATGCAGGGCGTTCTGGGGAAGCCCAGCAGAACCTCTGGGTGGAGCTTTTCCTTTGCACAAGAACCATATTGCTTCATCCACATAAAAGGGGTTTTATTTAGTGTGTGTATCTTAAAAACTCTGTGAATGTGCCTCTAAATAGTCTTGAGCAGGTTCAGGGCCAGGTATGTCTCCTCTGCGCCAGTTTAGGCCCAGTCGTCCATGGCTTTGCCATCTCCCAGAACCACCTTGGTGAGCGAGCCGCAAGCCCTGATTCTCTGGGAATGGCTGGTCCAAGGAGCTCCCAGCAACGCTGTCAGCATGGAGTGGGGAAACAGACCAGCAGGCAGAGGGCTCTTTTTTGCTGCAGAAGTGAAATTTATTGGTAAAATAAAAACAAGGCTACCTGCCGCATCTCCGAGAGACCAGGAAGCAGTGAGAGAGAGAAACTAGAAAAGAAAAAAGAAAGCACAAATCCAGGGGCCAGAGCTGAGCTGCTGGACGGGAAAGCCCAACAACTTAGAAGCACCCCCGCAGGGCCTGTCTTCCTGGGCCGGCCGAGGAAGTGAGGCTCGGATGGCAGGCCTGGGGGAGCCGAAGGAACGTTTTCCATTTTCTGGTACCTCGGGCTGAGGAATATGTCATCATCCGGGCAATGAGCAGGGTCCACAGGAGGCCTGTGGAGGCCGGGCAAGGCAGGGAGAGCAGGTGCTGCAGGCTGCAGGGGCTGGACAGGGGGTGCTGGAGGCTGGGGTCGTGCATGGGTTGCAGGGAAGCCTGCAGGGAGAAAACAGATGCCTAGAACACTGGCGTTGGAAGTACGTAAAAGACAAAAGTATATAAGCACTTTAGAATTGGAGGGGCAACAGGATTTTAGACCTTAGAGATCCCTTTAGAAAGGGGGTGACTTTCCAGAGTCCACAGAGAAGCTGTGGCCCAAGCTCAGAGCACCCGTGTGTAAAAAGAGACTGGGTACCCACCACGTGAAAGGCACAAGGTGAAAAGGCAGAAAGACTGATGGGCAAGAGCGGGCCAGACGTCGGCCATGCTCTTAATTTAAACACAGCCCCTAACCTTGTTCCTTATCACTCAAAGGGCCGTACCAGTCACCCTGCCTTTTTCACAACACTACTGAGGAACTACGTGGGAGTGGGTGCTGGTCCCACGCAGTACTTTCTAATGCCGAGTGTGAAGATCCCCGCTACTTCTTCCAGAGAGAATTTGGTAAAACTTGAACGCACTGAGCTCCCTGTATGGTGACCCCTGTGGCAGCGGCTGGCACCTAGGAGAGTCTCGTGGTCAATACAATGGTCGGCATGACCTCATTACCTCAAAACTGCACACCCTCCTTACGTCCGGCAGCTCGCCAGCTGACTGGGTAGCAAGTTTGTCTTCAAAGATGGCATCTGCGATGCCACCCCTCTTTTTAGGGCATTGCCAATAAGAGGTCCCTGCTTTTACACAGGACATTGACACAGACACAAGGTGACGTACTTGCAGTCCTCGCTCTCCAGCAGGCCCCGGTACGTGTTGATCTCGCCCTCCAGCCGCGCCTTGACGTCCAGCAGCACCTGGTACTCCTGGTTCTGCCGCTCCAGGTCGGCCCGGATCTCGGCCAGCTGCTCCTCCACGGTGCTGATCAGGGTCTGCATCTGGGCCAGCTCAGTGCCGTAGCGGGCCTCGGACTCGCACAGGGAGTTCTGCAGACAGTCCTTCTGCGGTGCCAAAGGAAAGGAGGAGCAAGTTAAAAATCATGGATGGATTCCTGCCCTCAGGCCCTGCAGTCAGACCTCAACACCCCAAGACGTTGCCGGACCTGGAGAACAGTCCAGCTCCCACTAGCCTTCCCCAGCTGGAGGAGCTGCCAACGTGCCAGTGTGCTGTGGCTCTTCATCACAGACCTTGGCATAGGTTTGCAGAACCTCCCTCATCTGGGTTAATGTTCGTCCCCCCAGCATCCGTGTCCATGAGAATGTTTAATGCAAAGGAAATGAGGTCAATGTTGAAACCGTGTCCTGTCTGTATCTAAGGGTGGCATGTACTGAATCTGGAACTGCTCGCACGAGTGGGAGCTGAGCTGAGCCTTCCACCCACTCGAAGGAGCTCACCAGGTTGTGCTGAGCCTGAAGCTCCACCTGCAGGGCGTTCACTGTGCATCTCAGCTCCAGGATCTCTGACTGGCAGCACTGCAGCTCCTCTGAGCAGGACATGGCCTGCAGGCTGATGCCCTCCGACTGAAGCACAGTGGGTCAGACAACACGGGTCAGCTCACTGACCCACGTGGAAGCCGGGCTCCCCCGGCCCCCGCCCCCGCTCTGCAGCCCCGCCTCACCTGGGCTTGGAACCACTGCTCCACATCATGGCGGTTGGTCTCCACCATGGCCTCGTACCGGCACCGCATCTCCTCCAGCACCCTGCCCAGGTCCACGGAGGGCTCGGTGTCCAGCTCGATGCTGAGCTTGTCTCCCAGCTGGCACTTCAGCGTGTTCACTTCCTGTGAGCACAGGAGGACACCCTGCTCACGGGGCGCCCACTGTCCTCCACCCCAAGCCTCAATGATCTCCCACTGTCCGTCATGCCCATTGATTTCCCTGTGCTCCTCCATGGATGCAGAACACCCCCCCAAAAGCCAGAATCCCCCATCTGGTAGACAAGGTAACTTCAGGGCAGGGCCTGCAGAGCTTCCATCCTGCTCAGGAGGAAGAGACTCATTTCTTCCCCTGAATGGGCCTGAATTCACCCCCCAGAAGCCTACACAGGTCACACAAAGAGCCACCCACCTGCTCGTGGTTCTTCTTGAGGCAGAGCAGCTCCTCCTTCAGGGACTCCACCTGGGCCTCCAGGTCACACTTGGCGAGTGTGAGGTCATCTAGCGCCCTGCGCAGGCCACAGACGTCAGCCTCCACCAGCTGGTGGAGTGAGTGCTCCATCTGGTACCTTTACCAGGGAGAGTACAGGAGTTGGGGTTTAAAAGCAGAAAGGGCCCCAAGACCCGACTGACAGCCATACCCTCAATGGCCTCTCTCCTCAGTCTGACTGTGAGTCGGCCTTTCCTGGGTAGTGTGCTCATGGCCAGAAAGCAACAGCCTGTCCCCCTAGTGTCATTCAACACTAGGCGCCTAAGATGGACCAGGCAGAGTGGCCAGTGCTGAGGATGCCGGGATGGACCCGTGGCTGATGGCCAGAGAGGAGGCAGCAGAGCACCCGGGCCATTACAGTGCAGCAGGATCACTGCAGAGCCCCCTCTTCCATTCTCCCTACTGAGATGGACCTTGGAATCCTCCAATTAGAAGCCAAATACCAGGACGAGAGGAAGGATATGGCTTTATTTAGCTCAAAAGGAGTGAGGCTTCCACAGTGCCCTGAAGAAAGACAATGAGGTGTCGTGCCCCTTCCTGCTCCCAGGCGGGCCTTCTCCAGTGGGACGAACCCTTGGACCTTCACGAGCCTCCCCAGAATCATGCTTATCAGCGCTCACAGCCTGGTCAGGCTGCAGTGCGGAGCTGCATCCTCACTGGGGCAGCAGTTTCCTGGGAAGTGGCCTCGGGGTAGGGAATCGGGGCCTGAGTTCCAGTTCTGCCACTCAGTGGCCATGTGACTTCTGGCAAGTCACTTCAGTGCCCTGAGCCTCTGTGTCCCCATGAAGAAGAGGCCACCACTGCCCTTCCCTGCCTGCCTCACCAGGCTCTTCTTACAATAGAATCAAGTGACTGACAATTCTAAATCATGTCATAAACTATAAAAGCTAAACAATTACGTGGGTTGGTGGGGGGGTGCTTCTTCTAAGATCTTGGGCTTAATGCCCTTTGTTTTCTCTTGCTAAAACTGTTGGTTTGGGTCCTGGTTGATTGCTTTGCTGACATCAACTGCATCACAAGAGAGAAGCCAGGAGAGACATTTGGCTCCTCCCTCTCCCCGTCCAACCCCAACTCACTTGGTCCTGAAGTCATCTGCAGCCAGCTTGGCACTGTCGATTTGAACAACCAGCCTGTTGTTCTCAGACTTGGTGCACAGGATCTGGGGAAAGAAAGTAGGCTCTGTGAGTCACTGTTCGCAGGCCATCTGTGACCCTCAGGTCCTGTTGGCCAGGGGTCAAACTGCAGCATCCCCTCAGACAACACAAACTCCCAGACACATACGAGACGCTTGCATGGTGCAGGGTGGGTGAAGGGTGCAAGAGGATGCTTGTCTGAGGAACTGGGAGATGGGCGGTAGTAGCAAACTGAACGTATAACAAAGACTTTGTTTGCCAGATGTGATGCTTAGCAGATATAAACAAGAAGACCTGGAGTCTAGACCAGAGAACAATGGCTAGCTGTGAAAGTGTTAGATAAGGTCCATTCCCAAGAAGAAGTCCTTTCCACTCGTTTGCTCAACCTCCTCGGAGGTCTTCTCTGAATCCAGCAAGATTCCCGTGGCCCCCATCTGACAATCTTGGTCTTTCTGTCTCCACAGCTAAGATGTAGGCTCTTAAGAAGCATTGATCTGATAATCAAAGGGGACAGCAGATGAGAGGCCAGTGCCACTGATGGATCACACCGGCTCACACAGGGCATTAGGACGTGCTCCTCTGACCCCCTTCACTGCACCAGCATTTGGGTTGCACTGTTTCTGCAACTACAATTTAGGAATTGTGAGTACGTGAGCATAAATTCAGAACCCTGGACAGCCAACTCCGAAGTCTCATCCTTTACACACCCCCATTCACCTTCACTCAAGAGATCCTCTTCCCACAATCTAAAAATCTCACAATTCCAGCTGGTGCGGCTTGCACTGCCAGTCCAGGCCCTGGACGTAGCCTGCAAAGGTTATTCATCTTTTTTTGTAAAGGGCCAGATACTAAATATTTTAGGCTTTGCAGACCATGAGTCTCTGTCATGACTCTGCCACTACAGTGGCAGCAATAGACCATACATCAATGAACGAGCATAGCTGTGCCAATAAAACTTTATTTATAAAATCAAGCAGCAGGGCAGATTTGGCCCCCAGGCCATATTTTGCCCACCCAGGACCTGGAGCACCAGGAACCTCACCTTCTGCTGGAGCTCCTCGATGGTGCGGAAGTAGCACTGGTAGTTGGGGCACACGGTGGTCTCGTGGCATTTGCTCCACTCCCGGATCTTGGTCTCCAGCTCCGCGTTCTCCTGCTCCAGCTGGCGCACCTTCTGCAGGTAGTTGGCCAGGCGGTCGTTCAGGAACTGCATGGTCTCCTTCTCGTGCCCGTTCAGGGCGCCTTCACCATAGGCCCCACAGATTCCAATGTTGCCTGGAATGTGGCAGGTCCCTGGCAAGGGACAAGCGGTGTGGCAGCTCTGGGGCAGACAGAGGTTGGGTCTGCCCAGAGGGGTCATCCCCACACGGACGCGGTTGGCATGTGCCAGGGTAGCCAAGAGGCCCAGAGAGGCAGGCTCAGCCTCTGAAACCTGCCCACAGAGGGGAGAACCGCAGTGGTCAGAAGTCATGGCTCTAAAAGGCTGGACTCCTATTTCGTCCGCAGCTGGATGGCTTGGAACGAAAACCTTGCTTCTCCTCTAGGTCTTATATAGGCCTGTACTGGGAGTTGGTGCAAGAAAACTGGCATTTTGCTCATTAATATTTATGTCAAATGTCATACAATCACTCGATTAGTCAGTGATTTTCGTCTCCTGTAAAGAGTTAATGAGTTCATGAAAGAGGCCTAGGATGCTTTTCATCCGGGCAGAGTCCTAGAAAAGAGGCTGGAAAAGAGCCCTTTGTTGAGCTGCCCACATTCTGGGGCAATGAATTCTTTCCCTTCTATCAGCTTTTATCTGTGAAGTGACTGCGATCCAGACACTCCTAAAGTTCCCTCAAAATCTCTGTCACACCCGTGATCTTCTCCTACCTTGGGATGTTCTCATCATGGCAAAATCTAAACTGTTAGACCGCCAGGCACGCCAAGGGAAGAGGAAAAACACAATGAGTTTGTATCAGCAGCTATATGGGAAGAGTCCAAGGTGGGACTCTGCTTAGTCTGCTGGGAGGGAGGGGGGTTTCGATTTTAATAAGAGAGAGAGAAGACAATAAATGGCCTAGATATTAATAAAGGCAATAGGAGGAGTGTTTTAAAAAACAACTTTTTAAAAATAAAGAAGCAGTGAAATTTTGAAGAAAAGATCACACTGAGAGACCAGAGAAAAGACTTCACAGAATAGAGAGCATTTAAAATGGGTTTTGAATGATGATCCCATGAGGAACGGGAGAGACAACATCTCTCACGGAGAAAATGAGCAGAAGAATTGAAGACGTTTGGGAAACAGAGGAGAGCCTGCCTGCATCAGTGCTCACAAGAAGCACATATATGCCAGCCCCGGAAAGCCGCGTTCGGCCCAGACTGTGAGAAGCCTTGAATGCCAGCACCATCCCACACACAGTCAGTCTGCAGGTAAAGGTCAAAGTCAAAGTGCAGGTAAAAGTCAAAGATAAAATGTGCCGCTGGTAGCTGCCTGGGCTCAACTATGAAGAAAAATAGCCATGCTCCTTCCTTCTGAAAGAAAGCAACAGAAAAGAGAAGGAAGTTCCCTGTATAAATATTAGTGGGAAACACAAGGCCAGAACAATAAAAGAGAAACCTAAATGCTAAATTGACTTGGGTGTTTGAAAACTAAATAACAAACTTCCATAACTCACGGGTCCGAGAAGTCAAATGAGAAATTAAAGGATTTTAAATGGAATTAAAATGAGACTATAAGGTATCAAGCTGGTTTTGGCAATGGAGACTTGTCTTGTCTGAGTGGGAAGCAGATGAGCAGCTTTGGAAGTGGAGGAAAAACTTGGGAATGAAACCAGGGAATCTGATTCCCAAGAAATAAAACTACGTTCCCGTGTATTGGAGTCTACAGTCTAATTAAGGGGGGGAGTGATTTAGGGCATCTGTTCTCAGGCACCTCCCCATCTTTCTGAGCACTTATGCTTGTTAGACACTGCTGTTCTCACCCACCGAGTCCCTCCTCGCCTTATTTTAAAAGACACACGCGGAAGAACTTTGATCGTGCATCCTTTGAAACTTCTCACATTTCTTTGAAATGCCCCTACCTTGATGGTCCCATGACTTAGGAGATTCTAGAACAAAATTTGAATTTTCTTAATCCTCAGACACAGTCAGAGCATCAGAAGTTTTATGGCCTCCTCTATTCCTAAGACAAACAAGCCAGTGGCCAATTGTTTAATAAACCCTGGGAGAGGGCAGCCAGCCAGCTTCTAGACTATGCTAACTAATGCAGATGCTCCCTTGACCCCATTCTTGAGATGAATGGTTTCACCAGGAAGGCCCTGAGGCAGCAGTTATGAAATACCCAACTCGAAGGGGATCTCAAAGTTCTCTAGTCCAGGACCCTTTGGCAGTGAATCCTTTCTGATAACCTCTCTCTAACTAGTTGCCCGGGCCACCATTTTCTGGGATGACTCATCTCGTCTTTGGCCACCTTGGCCCCTTGGCTCACAGTACCCCAGGCTTTGTGCAAGACAGTAGAATCAAGAGCTAAATAACAGCCAGTTTTGCCTTCAGAGACCTACAGCATAGGGATTATTAGAAAGTTCTTTATGCAGGGACAAATCTGCCTCCCTGCTATTTTCACCTATCGTGTTCATGTACTCTTTTATTCATTCATTTAACAAATATTTATCATTGAGTACCTACCTATGCCACGTAGACACAGGTGCTGGGCACTGGTGATACATTAGCAAGTAAGTCAGAGTTTGCCCTTTATTTAATTTACATTCTCGTTCTACCCCATGGGGTCCCAGAGAGGATGAATCCAGTAACTCTGCCTCATGGCAGACCTTCGGTTCTTTGTGACCACTGGGTGATTTCTCATTCCTGTTTGGTTTGTTTGTTTGTTTGTTTTTTATCTTGTTTATTTATTTACTGCCTGTGCTCATTTGAATGTAGACCACACAAGGAATTTTTTCTTGTTCATCTTTCTATTTCCTATGCCTAGCTATAGTTTTTCTTGTTTTAAGAACATTTTGTTGATTACACTATGACAGTAGTCCCAATTTTTTCCCCTTGTCCCCCTCCATCCAGTAACCCCCTTCCCTCCAGCAATCCCCCCACCTTCGTTCATGTCCATGGGTCATGTGTGTAAGTTCTCTGGTTTCTCCTTTTTCCATGCTATTCTTAACTCCCCCCTGTCTATTTTGCTCCTACCGTTTATGCTTCCTGATCCCTGCACCATTTCCCCATTTCTCCCCCTCCCCCTTCCCCCTTCCCATTCCCGTTGGTAAGTCTCCAAATGATCCCCATACCTATGATTCTGTTCCTGTCCTCACTGTTTGCTTAGTTTATTTTTGTTTTCATTCTTGTTTTTGTAGATTCAGTTGTTGATAGTTGTGAGTTTGTTGTAATTTTAATGTTCATACCTTTGATCTTCTTTTTCTTACATAAGTCTCTTTAACATTTCACATAATAAGGACTTGGTGATGATGGGTTCCTTTAGCTTTACCTTGTCTGGGAAGCACTTTACCTGCCTTTCAATTCTAAATGATAGCTTTGCTGGCCAGGGTAATCTAGGTTGTAGGTCCTTGTTTTTCATCACTTTGAATACTTCTTGCCAGTCCCCTTTTGCCTACAAAGTTTCTTTTGAAAAAATCAGCTGTCAGTCTTATGGGAACTCCTTTGTAGGTAACTAACTGCCTTCCTCTTGCTGCTTGTAAGATTTTTTATCTTTAATCTTTGGCATTTTAATTATGATGTGTGTTGGTGTGGTCCTCTTTGGGTCCAACTTCATTAGGACCCTCTGTGTTTCCTTGACTTGCCTGTCTATTTTCTTTGCCAAATTAGGGAAACTTTCTTTCATTATTTTTTCAAATAGATTTCCAGTTTCTTGCTCTCTCTCTCTTCTGACACCCTTATGATGCAAATGTTGGGCCTCTTGATGTTCTCCCAGAGGCTGCTTATATTGCCCTCATTTTTTTGCATTCTTTTTTCTTCTTGTTCTTCTGATTGGTTGTTTATATCTTTCTTATGTTCCAAATCATTGATTTGATTCTTGGTTCATCCACTCTCCTGTTGTTTCCCTGTAAATTGTTTTTTATTTCAATTAGTGAATCCTTTGTCTATGACTGGATTTTTTTTTTATGCTGCTGAGGTCCTCACTAAGTTCCTTGAGCATCCTTATAACCAGTGTTTTGAACTCTGCATCTGATAGATTGCTTATCTCCATTTCATTTAGCTCTTTTCCTAGAGTTTTGATCTGTTTTCACTTGGGCCATGTTTCTTTGTCTCCTCATTTTGGCAGCCTCCCTCTGTTTGTTTCTATGTATTAGGTAGAGCTGTTTTGATTCTGTGTCGTGGTAGTGTGCCCTAATATAGTAGATATCCTGTAGGGTCCAATGGAACAGCCTCCCCTGTCACCCAAACTGGGTACTCAAGGTGTGCCCTTCATGTGGGCTGAGTTCACCCTCCTCTTGCACTTGAGCTTTGGTTGTTGATAGCAGATCAATGGGAGGGATTTGCCCAGGCCAGTGAGCTGCAAGATTGGCTGTATCCTCGAACCAACCTCTGCCCTCCATGGAGGATCAGCTGTGCAGGGGCAGGGTGGTGGTGCTCCAAAATTATCTGTGTCTGTCCACTGGGTGTACTGGCACTGGGGTTTCCTGGATAGTGCAGGCCAAGGTCAGCCCTCACCTGTATTTTATCCAGATCCTTCCTTCCTGAGCTATAAAGCAACCTGAAAAGGCTGCTACTTATGCTGGGCTTATAGATTCCCAGGTGAAGCAAAGCTGTGAAACTAATCTGGTTGCTTCTAGAACCTGGCCTGGAGCTCACTGAGGCCAGCTGCTGCTTGTTTGAGAGGATTTAGGAAGCTGTGAAGCATGAGAAAAGACCGTTATTCACATGGAAAAGCAGCTTGTGTAGGCCCATAAGTTGGGTGGGGCAGAGTCTCTGGGAATCTCCAAGGTGGGTCAAGCAGTGTTAGCCCACCTATATGGCACCAGCTTGCTGGCTCCGTGGCTCTGCAGGGGAAGAGCTCAGAAAAGGGACAATGACCTCTGCTCACCCCAATGCCAGACACTTCAGCTTCTCCCAGTACGTCACTGGTACCCTTCAAGCTTCCACCCCAGCGCTGGAGCTCAGAGGGAGTGAGTCTGAGTAGGTGAGTCTGTGTGTGGGTTTATTGGTTCATCCACTCTCCTGTTGTTTCCCTGTAAATTGTTTTTTTATTTCAATTAGTGAATCCTTTGTCTATGATTGGATTTTTTTTATGCTGCTGAGGTCCTCACTAAGTTCCTTGAGCATCCTTATAACCAGTGTTTTGAACTCTGCATCTGATAGATTGCTTATCTCCATTTCATTTAGCTCTTTTCCTCTTATTCCTAAGCAGTGTGGAACTGCTTAGGAATCCAGCAGTTTTTTCCACCGACTCCTGCTGGTTTTTGCAGCCAGGAATTGTGGGGACTTATCTTCCTGGCATGGAACTCTGGCCTGGGGGGCCTGATATAGCGCTGGGACTCCTCTCTCCCAAGATATCCCTCCTGAATTTTCATCCTCCACACATGCGTGAGGGACCAGACTGTTCCACATCTGTGCCCCTCCTACCAGTCTGGATGGATGCGGTTTCTTTAATTCCGTAGTTGTCAGACTGTCATTCAAACCCATTTCTGACATTTCTGAGTGGTGGTGGATCTATATTTTAGTTGTAATTTTGATGTGGTTGTGCAAAGAGATGAGCCATGGCTGCCTACGCCGCCAGTTTGACTGGAAGCCTCTCACTCCTGGTTCTTTATTCAGCATGGTTCTGAGTCCCCTTGCCTGCCATCCCGAGTACATTCCTCTGAATATATTCCCTGTAGTTCTTACCACCCTTAAATGGGGCTTTAAAATAAAATTTTGGATGCTTTTGTATTAAGAAGAGGCCGGTATATGTGTACAGGTATGTACATATATGGGCAGTATTCACCAAGGCAGGGTTTACTTTCATCAGTGACCTTCTCCCAGCCACCTACTTTAGGTGGTCCAATATCCATGTGCTCCTGACACAGCGACGCCCTCTCCAGTCTCCACAGAGGGTACAGAGATGAATCAGAGAAATCCCCCTTCTTGAAAAACCGAGAGCAGTAGAGCTGGCCTGTGTAACTCGGAGGAAGGCGAGGTCACAGTGTTAGGGATGTAGAGTGTCAAAGAGACTTGATCTGGAACTTGAAAGATTGGCAGGAGGAGGTCCTTACTAGCCACCAGCCATGCCAATGGGAAGGAAGGGATGGGAAACAGAGATGTTATCAAAGGACTCTATAAAGCTGAGAGATTTGCTGTATATGGCAGACCAAAGAAGGGAGGGACACACCAAAATGTCCTTGAGGCCACCCCTGGTTTCCTGGGACAATAATGTGATGGGAAGGGAAGCCGAGAAGTCAAGGCAAAGAGTTGGCTCAAGAGAGAGAAGTGCAATTTAGGTTTGAAGAGTGTGAAATGTAGTGAATGGGATGGCCCACCAGGGGTCAGAGACAAATGCTTGGAGCCAGGGACAGCAACCTGGGCTGTTTGGACACAAGGAGAAACTCTCCTGGGCTGCTAAGGTGTCTGACACCTGCAGGCAGGTAGAGAGGTTGAATTAACCCAGGGGCTCAAACCTGAACAGGAGCCCCGATTCTCAATAGAAGGATGACATCAGAGGGGTGTGGCGTTGGGAATCTTCAAAACAGGGGAGATATCTTGGATACAGGGAGTGTCTTTTGAAAACAAGCATAGTCTATATTCTAAATGAGGTGTCTTTTAATCATAAAATGAGTTTGGTATTTTTAAAAAATGTTTTAACCCTTACCTGAGGATATAGTTATTGATTTTTAGAAGGGTGTTGTGGGGAGAGAGAGAGAGGGAGAAGCGTCAATTGGTTGCCTCCCATACACACCCCCAACCTGGGATTGAACCTGCAGCCTTTGGTGTATGACATTCCAATCAACTGGGCCATGTGGCCAGGGCTGGTATTTATATTTTTGAGAGCTAAGACATTAAGTGAGAAGGTGAAGGATTTTTAAATACTCACTAAATGAAAAGCTGTGGATGAAAAAAAGATTGGAAAGATGAGCTGGTGAAGATCATCCTAAGGGGTCATCAGTAGGGACAAATTTGATTTTGTTCTTAGGAAGAGGTCAAGGTGGAACTTTAGGTATCACATTTAATGGACCACACACATGCACACACACAAACTAGTGTCTAAATTTAAAATGCTCCCATTCTGGAAAGTCCTAAATTCCACCTTGGTTTTCTTGGCTTCCCGGCATGGACAGTGGTGGGAGCAGAAGTGGTGGTCCCTTCCCAAAGCTCTGTCATTGGCTGCCGGCGACTACTCCCCGGGGCCCAAAGCCACCACCCCCCCATGTATGCCTTTCCACTTTACTGGGATTTGAAAAAAATGGCATTCGGAGTCGAAAAACATGGTGGTGGAGGAGCTGGAAGAGACCCAAGTGGAAAGAAGTATTATAAAACCAGCACATCAGGAGTGCAGGGCTGGTTAACTGAAGACCAACTGGCTTCATGCGAGGTGGCTCAAAACTGGGCCCAGTCTCAAGCCCAGGCAGCAAACGTCCCAGGGAAAGAAAATAACCAATCTGGTTGAAATTATTGTGGCCAAAACAAAACCAGATACCATATCGTGATGCAGCCACGCCACAGAGGGGTCTGAGACGTGCAGATGGGGGAACCACCCTGAGGAAGAGGAGTGCCTGGGGTACGGTGCCAGAGGGAGCCCTGAGCCCTCGGGCTGTAAGAGTAAAACCACAAGGTCCGAGTGCCCTGGGCCAGCCACCTGCCAGCCTCCCTAGCCCACAGTCCCACCTGTGTCTGAGCAGCCTTTCCTGCCACACCTAGTAGCCATGGGGGTCTCACAGTGAGAGTGTATTCGGGGTGTGACCTGGCCAGGGAAGTGGGAGACAGACCAGACTTCCATGGCCCTGGCACAGGAAGGGGTCATGGTCACTCCTTAAAACATACAATTTTGGGGGCTTACTTGATAGAAGGAAGCCCGAGAGCCCAATAGACATTCCTATCCTCTGACAACCCGAAGAAAACTTTATTAAAAATTTCAGTTAGGCCACTTGGAGTGAGAAATTGAACTCCAGTAAAAACAGTGGATGGTTTTCATGATGGTTTGTAAGTGGGTGGGAGTATGGACCAACTTCCCAGCCACCAACATGGGAAAATGTGGCCCCCGGTGCTACTAATGGGTTCCACTGCCACCTCGTCAGCTCTTCCTTCCCTTGAGGAAGAAGACTGTCCCTGCTGGTCCCCAGGGAACCCCATAGACCGATATTTATTGAGCACCTTCTATATGCGGGGAACATTATATGGATTACCCCTCAACAACAGTGAGAGGGAAATACAATTATTCTAATATTACAGCCAAGGAGTAGGTCTCAGGAGAGTGCAGTTACCTGGCCAGCTGCTCTCAGCTGGTGTCGCAGAGCCCGGGGCCACCCAACTCTACAACACATGCCGTTGCTGCCATATTGTGCTTCCATGAAGAAGGGCCAACTTTATATTGGTCTTCAGACCACGGTACATGGGTGAGCTGAGATCTGAGAGCTTCGTTCTGCTGGACACATTCAGTACTTGCCAAAAAGTGAAACTGACTAGCACAGCACGGAAGGAGCACAGCCCCTCAGGCGCTGCTCCCCAAGGATCTGGCTGTGAAGCCCCTCGGCCCATGTCAGAGCCACGTCCCAGATTCAGGCAGGCATTTGGAGCGCCTGTGGCCACTGCAGGCCCCACCCCAGCACCTGGAAGGTGGCAGCAGAAGAGACAGCACGCACATCGATGGCAGCGTCTCTCTAGAGAAAACTACATCCCAGAAGCAGGCCAGGACCAAGACAGCTGTCTCCAGGGCGCCGTCTGGGCCTCTGTGTCTGAGAGCAGGAGAAAATTCTGTGCCTCCCCGAAGGGGCCAGTTTAAATGACAGAAAGAACTTGGCACCTTGGCCAAGGCAGTTCTCAACATGACCTCCCTTTGACTGGGCTGGAACTCTAATTTGTCTGATTTTGCTCTTGAACAAAACACCAAGGGTCTGAAGGTGCCAAAAACACAGGAGGGACATGTTAGTTCTGAGCTGTTCTGAAGGAATACAAACTTGGCAACCAACACAGCTTCCTTTCTCCAGCCTACAGGGATCGATGGGCAAGATAAAGGCACATCCAGTGTCAGCAAAGGGCATATCAGTCATCCCGAGGCTCAGGCCCCAGTGCCCCAGAGAGATCCTGACAGTGACATGTCAGGGCCAGGGACCACCCGAGGGCTGGAGGGCCACGGCGCTTTATCACAACACAGGAAGGAGAGCACTTGATACAGGAAGGAGGTTTATTCACCATTTAATACAGGAGCCCAGTTACATTTTAAGAGATTCCAAAGCACTGGAGTGGAACCAAAATTCCAGAAGAGAGACTGGGACAAAAAGAACAGTAGTTTAAGGACAAGAAAATACAACATTGGGGGGGGGGGGGAACAGCCTAAGGCACAAACAGGAAGCCACTACTTAGAAGTATCTGCTGCCCTTGGATTCAGTGAAGAGGCCTTCAGCGGGTCTAGTGCTTCTGGAAGACCAAGCAAGGGGAGGGCAGGCCCAGCCCCAGTGGGAACAGCTCCAACCTCCTGCATTGGAACTCGGACCCTCAGAATCAGCTCCCAGCGCAGGCTCTACAGGCTGAGGAAGACCCACAGCTCGGCGGGGCACAGCTGGGACGGAGGGTGCAAGAGGCCGGCGTAGAGCAGGGATTGCAGGGCAGTCTGCAGGAGACAGGGAAGGAAGAGTTAGACATGAAAAATACGGAGGCGTCCCAGTGGTGGGGACAGAGAAGCTCAGACCACAATGGTGGAGGAAAGGCCTGCTGCAAACAAACCACGGAGCCCAAGGGAACCTCCTTCACAGCCCCTCTTCCACACTCAGCTGTGGCTTTCCATATCCAGGTGTCCCCTGGGGGGATGTGGCTGAGGGACCCGGCTACCACCTGTGTACCGTCTATCAATGGTACAGTGTGCACACACCAGCAATGGTAAATGAGTCACCGAGCAAGGCCCGTTCCTTAGGATGAGCTCTCCTTCCACGAGCACCTCAGCTATCTCTGAGGAATCTGGCAGTCAGAAATTTGGCTCGGCCAGAAATTGCCTAGATCACACTCACTTGCAGTCCTCGCTCTCCAGCAGGCCCCGGTACGTGTTGATCTCGCACTCCAGCCGCGCCTTGACGTCCAGCAGCACCTGGTACTCCTGGTTCTGCCGCTCCAGGTCGGCCCGGATCTCGGCCAGCTGCTCCTCCACGGTGCTGATCAGGGTCTGCATCTGGGCCAGCTCAGTGCCGTAGCGGGCCTCGGACTCGCACAGGGAGTTCTGCAGACAGTCCTTCTGCGGTGGGAAGCAGTGGGGAGAGAGGCCCAGGGGACAAAAAGTTCAGGAGTGAAAATCAGGGTCAAACTCACCAGGCAGGGGGCTAAGCCTAAGCAGTCACCAAGCATCCCCAGAGCTCTGGAGAAATCGCTGTCAGGGTGACCGTGTGTATGTACATACACAAAACAAATCCAGCTTGAACTGTGTTATGTAACCCTCTGATATCTCGAGTACTTGATGTGAAGTAGAAACCCAGTAAAATCTCATACGGCAAGTGCCTGAGCCCTCACCCCTTATTGTGAAGAAGTGGAATTCACTTTTAATAGGAACCATTTTTCTGGGTCAAACCAGCAAGTCACCTCCACCAGGGAGGGAGGGACACAGACTGAGCCCTAACTTAATGTTATTGGAACCAACTAGGCAGACTTCTCAGAGGTGCCGCCACCAGGCCACGACTGAGTGCAGGGAGGGTGAAGGAGGACCCGTACCAGGTTGTGCTGGGCTTGGCGCTCCACCTCCAGGGCGTTCACCGTGCATCTCAGCTCCAGGATCTCCGACTGGCAGCACTGCAGCTCCTCTGAGCAGGACATGGCCTGCAGGCTGATGCCCTCCGACTGAAGCACAGTGGGTCAGACAACACAGGTCAGCTCACTGACCCACATGGAAGCCGGGCTCCCCCGGCCCCCACTCTGTGGCCCCGCCTCACCTGGGCTTGGAACCACTGCTCCACATCGCGGCGGTTGGTCTCCACCATGGCCTCGTACCGGCACCGCATCTCCTCCAGCACCCTGCCCAGGTCCACGGAGGGCTCGGTGTCCAGCTCGATGCTGAGCTTGTCTCCCAGCTGGCACTTCAGCGTGTTCACTTCCTGCAGGGACAGAAGAACCCACGCCCTACGTGAGAAAAGGGCTTCTGACAGAGCAGAGGGCATCTGCGCCCCTCTCCTGACAAGCAGTATGAGGGGTGACCCCACGCACACAAATGGGAAGTGTTCCTGGGGCCCGTGGGAGGAGCCCATTTGGAGACCTTCCTAAACAAATGCACAAGGCAAACCTTCAGAAAAGAATCTGCCACATCCCACAGAGTCAGCCCGACTCAGGCCCCGATCAGCCCAGTGTCCCGATGCCAATGGGCCCAGGTTCTGATCCTAGAGCCATGGGGTTGGGTGAGGGGAGTGCTCCCTTTTCTGCCCAACGTCCTCCCCGCTGAGTCTGCAGCCACAGGACCAGACCTGCTCATGGTTGCTCCTGAGGCAGAGCTGCTCCTGCTTCAGGGACTCCTGCTGGGCCTCCAGGTCGGCCTTGGCCAGGCTCAGGTCATCCAGGAGCTTGTGCAGCCCGCACATGTCCGCCTCCACCAGGAGGCGCAGGGAGTGCTCGCTCTCGTGCCTTCGTCACAAGAGAGGCGCAGTCAACAAGGCGCCCACAGAGCCCCTCGTGGCCGACCCCGGCTCCCACCTCCTCATCACCTTGCATCCTCATTCGTTCGCTGAGCTCAGTCCCTGGTCTCAGAGAGGAATTACACACAGCCCCTCTTCTCAAAGGGGTCGTGGTCTGGTGAAGCAGTCACGCAGTTATATTTTTACCACTGTGCATTGAAGCCGCTGTGGTTCAGAAAGGTTAACTGACTTGCCTAAGGTCGTGTATCTTAGGACTCAGTACAGGGCTCACACCCTTGTATGAGCTAATGTTACGTAGGATAAGCAACAGTGGGGAGAGTGGACCTTGATTTGCTCCCTTATTCGTTACGTTGGGCTATGCGGTCATCTCTCACCTTTATTTAGTGGAAATGTCTGGTATCTGAGGTTCTTCATACGTAAATCTGGACCCTGTCCCGACTGATCTGTGAAATTCAATGGCTATCCTTATTTAGTTTTTTCTTGAAATCTTACTTTGCTCGTGAGTAATGAGCTCAGGCAGCCTCGTCTTCCCTTTCAGGGAATAAATGAAGTAGGATTAATACTAGGCTGTGCTGTACATGGTTGGCTTACTAGTGTTTGTTCTCCTCCACCTTCTATGAGGTTTCTTAATTTAGGAATTTAGGGAGCAAGAAACCAAACAGTAATCCACTCATTCAACAAACATTTAGACACTGGGGCTTAGGTGAAGGAGGGAGCCACTTGGGCCTTCTTCAGCCCTTACTTACTTGATTTTAAAGTCGTCAGCAGCCAGCTTGGCATTGTCGATTTGGGTAACCAGCCTGGCGTTCTCAGCCTTGCTGCATAGGATCTGGGGAAAACCAGGAAGACCGTTCACACACAAACATCACACTCCGGGCTCAGCCCTATGCGTGCTGTCCACACTCCTGCTCCAGAAAACCCAAAAACCCAAAGCTCTCTGGGCCTACAGGGGTGTTTGCCTTGCGATGCCCTCCGCCTCCCTCAGACCCGGCACACCCCAGGCTACTGCAAACCTCACCTTCTGCTGGAGCTCCTCGATGGTGCGGAAGTAGCACTGGTAGTTGGGGCACACGGTGGTCTCGTGGCATTTGCTCCACTCCCGGATCTTGGTCTCCAGCTCCGCGTTCTCCTGCTCCAGCTGGCGCACCTTCTGCAGGTAGTTGGCCAGGCGGTCGTTCAGGAACTGCATGGTCTCCTTCTCGTGCCCATTCAAGGAGCCTTCACCATAGGCTCCACAGATTCCTATGTTGCCTGGAATGTGGCAGGTCCCTGGCAAGGGGCAAGCGGTGTGGCAGCTCTGGGGCAGACAGAGGTTGGGTCGGCCCAGAGGGGTCATCCCCACACGGACGCGGTTGGCATGTGCCAGGGTGGCCGAGAGGCCCAGGGAGGCAATCTTGTCCTCCACCCCAGGCTGGCCCCCCATGTCAGTGGGGGGGACACAGAAATTTCTGTCTCCAGGAGTCTTGGTGCTGTCCAGAGGCTGGCATGAGCTGACGTAGCAGGGAACCATGGTGTGGGCGGAGGCTACACAGGAGTTTCAGAGCAGCTGGAAAGACCGCGAGTCTGAGTCTGAGAACCCCCTTCCCTCCAAGGCCTTTTATACCCCGTGCCAGGTGGGTGTTGGCTCGGTGCTTTGACCTGGCGGCCTTGGTCCTCGGCCTGTCGTTGCAGCGTCACCCTGTTACTCAGCTGTTGGGTTTACCATCGGGAGTTCCTCACCTCGTTAAAGGAATGCTGACGACCTGAGGGGCCTCTTGGCTCTTTGATATCAGGTTGTCTGATGGCCGGAGATCAGAAGTTTTTACTCTATTCCCAAGGACAAAATTCCTGTTGGCCATTGGATGTTTATACCTTGACCGGGGCTTGGCCTGCTCTCTGGGTTAAGACTCAACCAGCCTTCCCTGCCCTGGTTCCTGGTTAGTAGATGTTATGATGTGGTTTATTCGTAAGTTCTACATCTTTTCTTTCTCCAGTTGTTTGCCTTTCAGACTCACTGAAAGGGCAGGTAGATTTCAGTAAGCCCATTCATCCAACATGCATCTCCTGACCCATCCGAAATTCAGGGCACTGCCACACACCTGATGTAAAGTCCATCGGGAAGCAGCCACCACTTGGGTGGCCACGGGTGTCTGAGAGGCTCATCAGTGTGAGGGTGACCCTGCAAACCACGTCTGACCTGAACCGAGAAAGCTGAGCTCAGAAAGTCAGAAACAAACAAAAATGAACAATAATCTTTTTCACCCCAAATAAGAACTTGGCCATGAAACTCAAACATTGGGTTACCAGAGTCACTATAGGTCCTCCTCCTGCCTTACTTCTTTGATTCCAAAGTCTGTTATCGAGCACCTACAGTATGTATGTGTTCCAGGACTGATCATTCTCACCATACCCTGTGAGGTGTGTATTATTATCTTAATTCTATAAGAGAAAGAAAGAAGTAGGCACCTAGAACCAGAGGTGTGTAGTCATTTTCCCAAGACCAACGCCCTTGTAAAGGGACCAAGCCTGATAGCAGGTTCAGTTTCTTCAGACTCCAGAACCTGTTCTTGTTCTCGTCAACTTGACCACCAGCCCACCCCTGTTTGACTTAATACTGTTTTATTAAGTCAACAGGGAAACAACTGTGTCATTGCCAGAACGAAGAAGGATTAAAAGGTCAACAAACTGGGCAAATAGTTGAAATTAAGAGATAAAGCAAGAACCTGGCGTCCTATGTCATTTCTCCTTGTGCCTCAGAAAATACAGATGTTAGGGCACCAAAGCAGTAGGGCAGGTTCCCCAAGGACCACACAGGGCGATGCCCAGGAGAAAGCTCTAGTTCCAAAATTCTTATACCGCATCCCACTCCCTACCAGCTCTCGGAACCAGGGAACCAAGATAGCTAACTGGTAGAGTTCAAAAGTCTCCTCTCAAAATGTGTAGCAGGTGGTAGATAGGCTCCTAAGACTGACCTAGACCTAATGTGGAGTAAGACCTCCCCCTCAAAATGGTAAGAAAATGGGTATTTGCTAGTGCTTTGAGCACTGAGCAAAAACTGGACAGATACCTCTATAGAAACCAGCTGTGCCTTGGTGAAACCCAGGCCACTGGAGTTCTATCAAAAAGAAATACAGAATTTGACTCTGTCCAGATTGGGTTTTTAAGGAAAGGTAACTAGCAGTCAGCTTTGGCCTAAGGTTACTCAGAGCTCATCAATGATTAACCCTTTGTAGACACTATAATTAGAAGACACTGCCAGGCCAGGCTACCCCATCCTTCAGAGACCTCCCAATCTGCATAGGTTTCATCTTCAGACACCCCCTTGCTACTCTCCCCAGCTCATCCATAGCAACAAGCTTCTCTGTGAACTAGAGAACTTGACTTTTAAAGTCATTTCTTTTGACTTGCTAAATAGAACTCCGCTTTTGGCCTTATTCTCTGGCAGGATTCATTCATCGGCTCAAGTCCATGATTTCTTCCATCTCAACATAAACAGCACTTCTTACTTTGTAGCATCACTGATGAAGCTTTATATGTTTGGATGATGCTCCCCTCTGCCGAAGCGCCATAATGGTCCTGGCTGGGCTTCTATCGAGTACGCTGTTTTGCATAATGACACTGAAGTTGCATGTCCCTTTGTAAGGTCGCTTCTTTCTACTGATTTGCATTTTTCTCAGATGAGTTTGAGGTGAGGATCCTTGCTTCCCAGCCCTTTAAAAAGAGTCCCTGTGACCCTTGGTGATCAAATATGAGCCAGGTTCATTGACAAGAAGTGGTGAGGACAAAGTGAGAGATGGACGGGACCCTTCAGCCTGTACACACGAAGTTCTCTGGACCGATTCCGACTTTAGAAACACCACTCTCCAGAGGCAGGAAGTCTACTGCAGGTGGAAGTGAGGAGCTGTGGTCTTGGATGTTCAAACCCAGTGTTTTACCTGTGAGTGAATCTCAACCACTGGGAGGGAAAGGTGTAGAGTTGCAGGCTAGTGCCTGAAAATCGTGCCTAACCCGCAGCCAACCGTGTATATATGCTGCAGGACGGTGAGTGGGAGCCTCCAGGGGCCTGTGCTCTGCACGGGAACGTCACCCATCACACATCGCAATGGGTGCAGAGACCGAAGACAGCTCCCGTGGGTAGAGCCTGCTCCTGCCGTGTGTCCTCGGTGTTAGGAAATAGTGCCAAAGAAAAGCATAAAGACTCTTAGGAGGAGAGCCTGAGCATATCAAGTTATTATTCTAGGTATGCAGCTCCTGAAGCTTTGATGAATGGACAAGGCACCTTTTCTTCCAAACTAGATAGATTTTTACCACCTGGTCTCTTCGATGCAGCCCCACAGCCCATGATTACTCACTGATCAGTGTTATGTTCCCGCCTCCTGCGACATACTCTGGACACTAGAAGTGCATCTCCCCGACACAGTCCCTGCCTCAGCAGTGAGCGGGGGACACGTCTGTGACAAACCCCACGCTGGGCCTATGTGGGTGGTGCCACACTCCCCCGAGGCCTTTAGACTTGTCACCATTTTCTTTTACCCTCTCGGTGGCCCAAGAGCAGATCAAAGTTGAAACTAGTTTTCCTTTGCAACTGTCTAAAGAAAACGCCCCTGGTTTTTTTCTTCTTTTGTCTCACACTCACAGTACTTCCAGCACCAGATAGATGGGCTTTCCACACACCAAGCCTGTCAATTCTCCGTGACCGCCTCTGAATGTCTATAATTCTAACGTTATCGGCCTCGAGTTCATGTCAGATCCCACAGGTTGAGGGCTCAACCCCACAAAACTGTTCTCCTCTTCAGACACCGATCGCAATTCCCAGGTTGTCACTGGTACTTCTGACTGACTGGCTGTAAATTAGGGTTCCCATAACCCCCTCCTTGGGTTCAATAATTTAGTAGATGTTCATAGAACTCAGGGGATCACTTCCTTACATTCACCATTTCACTAAAAAGGACATAATAAAAGATACAGATGAACAGCCAGATGAGGAGCTACAGAAGGCAAGACGTCGGGGGAGGTACTGGAATTTCTATGGAAACTTTATCACACAGGCGTGCTCCATCATGAACTCAGTCTTCAGTCCCCTTGCTGGAGCATGGGAGCCGGTGGAAAGTTCCAAACTTCTAACTGTAGCTTGGTCTTTCTCGTGACCAGACCCCACCAGGAGTGGCCTCATTAGAACAAAAGGCTGTCCTATCACCCAGGAAGCTCCACAGGATTGAGCAGTTCTGTGCCAGGAGCCGGGGACAGAGACCCGCACTCGCATTTTCTGTTACTTCGCAGCAACGGAAATGGAAAATGCCAAAAACCTCAATTTCTGAGCTGCCCAACCTCAACCAAGTTACTTAACCTTGAAACACACTCATCTTCCCCATGAACATTACAGTAATATTCACACTCGGGGCTGCTGTTCAGAGCGAAGGCCCCCGGGGGGGTAGACCTGCCAACCTAATGCCCAGCACACAGTAGGCACTTAATAAATGTCAGCTGCCTCCCTCTTCAGGGTCTCCAATCTTCACCGTCGTCCCCTTTTAAAAGCTTAGTGTTGTCAGAATAAATAAATACAGGGTGGGGCAAAAGGAGGTTTACAGTTGTTTGTATGGAGAATAATACCATAATTGATAATCCCAGAATAAACTCTGTGTTTTGCATACTCATAACTGTAAGCCCACTTTCACCCCACCCTGCACATAAAGGCATGCTCTCTGTTTAGCCTGATGTAGCTCTGCTTATTTATTTTTCATTTTGCTGTTTGTGCTTTAGGCGTCGTAACCAAAAAATCACCGCCGAGACCCAGGTCAAGGAGACTTTATCTTGTGTGTTCTTGTAGGAGTTTTACAGTTTCGGGTCTTAGAGTTAAGTCTGCAGCGGAACAGGCTGACCTCTATGACAGCGCAAACCCGGGTGGGTTGGGGTTCCACGTCTCATTCTGCCATAGATCCGTGCGAGAGGGGAGCGCTGGAGCCGCCAGGGGCGGGGTCGGGCAGCAGTGAGGTGGACAAGGGGAGGCGCCTTGCCCGAGCCCCTGCCTGCACAGCCAAGCCCGTGACCCCAGGCCTGGTCCCCTTGCCCTGGCTTTGCCTCCTCACCCACTTCCTCATGGGCACCCACACAGCCGTTAAGTGTCCCCCGTGTCATAGCTCAGCAGCTTATCAGCTCCGTGACTTTAGGCTCAGCTACCAACTCCTTGAAGCTTAAAATCTTTTCGTCTGAGAAGTGGCAACAGTGGGTCTATCTGCCTCTTAGAACCATTGGAAGGATTGAATGGAGCCGAGCATACAGGCTCAGCCAACTTCGGACACCTAGTAAGCTCTCCACGAAGGTGCACTTGCTCTTGGATAGAATAGAAACCGTAATCTTCACCTCGGAGGGTGCTGGGCGGCTTCGAAGGGATAATGCGGAGGAAATTCCCCGCCCAGCCTGGCCGTCTAGTGGAACTGACAGTGAGATCAGAAACACGGTGCCCACGACTGTCAGCAGTCAGGAAGGAGTCCGTGGAAACCACCACATGGAGAGGCCAGGCACGCCCGCCGAAC